TATATATGTATGTATATATATATATATGTGTATATATATATATGTGTGTATGTATATGTATGTATATGTGTGTGTATGTGTATATACATATGTGTGTGCATGTATATGCATATAGTGATATGTGTGTATATATATATATATGTATATATATGCGTATATCTATATATATATGTATCTACATATTATGTGCATATATATATATGTGTGTGTGTGTGTATTTATGTATGTATATGTGTATATATACGGGTATATGTATATATATATATATATATATGTGTGTGTGTGTGTCTGTATTTGAGTATATATATATGTGTATCTATATGTATATATGTTTTTATATGTATATATATTTGTGCGTATGTATATATATATATATATATATATATATATATATATATATATATATATATATATTAGCAAAAATCCTTCATTTATACGTGTTTCTTAAAAACGAAAGATAATTGTTTTTAATAATAATTTTTTTCATGTGGATGAGTTTATTATGTTTGTGTTTTCTACTAGTTCGTTTCAGATGGAATCTGGGAGGTTTGTGTGTGTTTTTAAATGGATTCTTATAGAGCTGTAGTCAGATAGGTGTGTAACGTAAGGCCTCTGGATAGGCATGTAATTGTGTTACCGATGCAATTATTTGTGAATTGCAGTAAAAAAAAAAAAACAACTTTCGATTTTTTTTGTTGAATACACCCCTCCTCCGCCGAACGATTCATATACTCGCGTATCAGTCAACTTTTGAAGATCTAATTTTGAACTTAATTTTAAGGAGGTCGCATCATACACAAGATATAAAATTATCGTATGTATTACTAACCCTTGCTACGCTGTTGACCAAACTATATATTCATTTGCTGTAGTCAAATTAGCTTCAAAATTAGGTCTTCAGAGGTCGCATGATACGCGAGTATGTACAGTAAGAAATCAATGATATATTTCTATTTAATATCGATCCTCTTATATTGGTTAATCATTTTTCACGTGCATTCTACTTTTTAAACCAACGTTAGTATAATTTGTGGCGTTCCGAACTCAAGGAAAGACGACGTGTCCATCCGAAGTTTCAAGAAATTAATATATTCCAAGCCTACCTGAAAACTGTAAATGTTGATATTATGAATAAAAAAATCCCGTAAATGTTGCTATTATGTATAAAACAAACCCGTAAATGTTGCTATTATTTATAAAAACAAAACCTTAAATGTTGCTATTATTTATAGAAAAAAAAACGTAAATGTTGCTATTATGTATAAAAAAAACCGTAAATGTTGCTATTATGTATTAAAAAACGTAAATGTTGCTATTATGTATAAAAAAAGCCCGTAAATGTTGCTATTATCTACAGTAAAAACGTAAATGTTGCTATTATCTATAGAAAAAAAAACCGTAAATGTTGCTATTATCTATAAAATAACCGTAAATGTTGCTATTATCTATAAAAAAAATGTATATGTTGCTATTATTTATTTAAAAAAACCCGTAAATGTTGCTATTATTTATAAATAAAAAACAACAACCCGTAAATGTTGCTATTATGTATTAAAAAAAACAGTAAATGTTGCTATTATTTATAAAAATAACCATAAATGTTGCTATTATCTATTAAAAAAACAACCCGTAAATGTTGCTATTATCTATAAAAAAAAACCGTAAATGTTGCTATTATTTATTTAAAAAAATCGTAAATGTGCTATTATTTATAAAAAACAAAAAAAAACAAAAAAAAACAGTGAATGTTGCTATTATGAATATAAGTGTATAATAATTCTGGTTTGTCTATGTGGGATAATCAATGAAAATCAAACAACACAAAAGTAAAAAATACCAGAATTTCTTTCTTCTTTTTCCCCATATCTCAATCTCTGGTGATGAAGCTTTAATAAAAGTGAAACATGTTAGATTGATAAACGTTTCTTATTCCTTCATTAGCTTATCATTCTGTCGGATTCTGATCCATAATTGATGCCAAATTATCTGCCTAATTTATAAGTCTAATTATTTTTCAACACAATTTCTTGGGATATTCGGTATATAAGTCTAATTCAGTTCTAGATTTACGATTATGATGTTTGGACTTTACTTTTAGTATGGCTTAAGTATGGCTTATTGATTCTTTATTATTGTCATTCAGAGAGTAATAAGTTACAAAAAATATAGTAAAACATTTCAATGGTACTTCAGGTATGTGTGGGGGGTGCTAAAATTGTCTTCGAGCCCCGGGCGGTGAGAATCCTCGCAATTTTATCTGCCTGAACAAACAAATTTTGTCGGGTTATATCACGCCAGCAGAATACATTTGGTCCAATCGAAACTAAACTGTTATGACGTACCTACCCTCCTGTATGGCAGTGGATGCTGGATAATTTAGGCACAGATGAAGAAGAGACTTGAAGCGATAGAGATGTTGTTCTACAGAAGGATACTGAGAATACCATTGCCCAAACAAGTGAGCAACGAGAACTACAAAGACACCCGTCTTTAAAATAAG